TGGGGCGCGCGATGAGTTTAATATAGTCAATATAATAAATAGTTATTATTGGATAATACTCGTACTGACTAGTGCTTAATATGTTAAACTCTAGGATTACTTCTCTCTGTTCCTGTTAGCTTAACTCCCGTTCTAATACGTACCTGTAAACTGAATCAAGGTAAGTCAGACTGATAATTATCTAAGAGATGACTAATCCTGAATAAGGAAAGAGAAGTAAGGCTAGATAGTATTATACAGCTATCTATAAGTAAGTGCGGATGAGTATTGTTACTAAGCTTTACTAAAATATATGGTTACTTAAAGACAGTATTATTAAGCATGAAGAACAGAACTAGCTAAGTATATAAAAGAGTGTTCTTATATCCTATCCTTCAGTATGGCGCTGCCATGCCATGTCATGTTGCTGACATCCTATAGCATGTCGGTGACATCCCCATCATAGCGCTGACATCCTATAACATGTCAGTGACATCCCATCGTAGTCACGTGCCGTGTGACCGTTCCCGTTCATTGGTTGCTCGTATCGGGGCTTTGCTCGATAAGAGCCCTTGCTCCTTCCGGGCGTGGCCTTCTGCCTGACGTGTCCGCCTCACTAGTTCGTTCAGCTAGCAGGGGTCCGTAACACAGACTTATATAAAGTATTAATATTAACTGTATTAACTGTATACTAGTAGAGATCTAAAATATTATTCTTAGTCTTTTAAAGGCTTTATTCTTCCATTATGTCTAACATCCTGCTTGTTATGATATAAAAAAAGACTGGTAAAGTATCTAATTATATGATTAACTGAATAAAGACTACTCAATCTTTAAAATAGATATTAAAAGTATATTATTTATAGCTAAAGCACGTGGATATTTTCTAAAGATTAAAAATATATCTAGAATACTTTTTACAGCTGCTTACTTAATAGTTTTTTCAACTATCTATTCTATCTTCTTCTTTTAAAAGTCTATCTGTACCTGTACAGTCTCAGTATAGATATAGATATAGTCTTAATTTATATTATGGAATCTTTCTTTATTATAAAGCTATTATTATTTTATATAAGTAAGTTAGATTTTATAATAATAGTAGAGATTTTTACAGAGTAATTCAATACTCTAATACTTCTAAAAGTAGTAATTCTAAATTTATTTAGATATTCTGACTGCGCAATCCAAAGAGTTAGATTATATTTAAATAAATAATATATCAAATTCTGCTATAGTAGTAGGAGGCTTTTAATCTATAAGATTAGTTAATATAAACAGATCAGATATCTTTGTCAAACCCTAGGATCGCTTCTCCCTGTTCCTGTTAGCTTAGCTTCACTGGTATACTGTCAAACCCTAGGATCGCTTCTCCCTGTTCCTGTTAGCTTAGCTCCCGTTCCGATACGTACCTTTGAACTGAATCAAGGTAAGTCAGGCTGATGACTATCTAAGAGGTGACTGGTCCTGAACAAGAGAAGAGAAGTAAGGCCAGATAGTGCCGTGCAGCTATCCGTAAGTGAGTGCGGACGAGTGTTATTGCTAAGCTTTATCAAAACATATGATTACTTAAAGATAATTAGAATTGAGCATGAAGAACAGAACTAGCTAAGTACATGAAAGAGTGTCCTTATATCCTATCCTTCATCGTAGCATCGCTATGCTATGTCGTAGCGCTGATACGTCCTGTCGTAGCGCTGATATGTTATAGCTTGTCGGTGATATGCCCATCACGGTCACGTGCCGTGTAACGGCTCCGGCTGTTGGTCACTCAGATCGGGATTCTACTCGATAAGAGTCCCTATCTGTCCGGGCGTAGCCTTCTGCCTGACGTGTCCGCCTCACTAGTCGTTCAGCTAGCAGGGGTCCGTAACATCTAGTAATTAAAGAAGATGTGAGATATAGAAAGGCATATAAATCAGTATGATTCTATTATCTTAATAGATTAATGTAAATTAAAAGAAGATATGGAAAACATGACTGTCTAATAATAATAATTATAATAATTAATTGATTATATAATCAGAATGTGTATTTCATGATATTCTTTTTTATAATTAAAGAATTTAATTAATTAAGCCATCGGGTGACTTTTATTACTATAGTCTTTATCTTAGATTTTTATAAGTACTTACTAATCTAGTATTTGAAGATTTTTAAAAAAATAAATCTTCTTATCTTTAAAGATAATATATAAAGATATTATCTTGCTTGTAGTATTATAATATTTAATAATAAAAATCTACTTATAATTACCTGACATGACTGTATAATCTTTACAGTCTTAAAATAATAATTTTAATATAATGATTTTTTAATTACTACGAATAACGTAACCCACGGTTAAGCGGCCCACACGGTTAGGCGGCCCATCTGGTTATCTGTTAAGGGACGTATTTAGATGGATCTTCCTATCTAGACGTGCCGTACGTACAAGAAGGAATCGCTAAAGAAGAAATGAGAAAGAAGGATTGTTGTTGTGAGGAAGTCTTGTAGGTGGCTCACCGCCTTCAGGACAGCGCAGGCCTTGGCCGAGTCACTAAGGTCTAAGGTCATTGTATAGGCAAAGAACCCATAACATTATTGTTACAGACCCCTGCTAGTTAACCTACTAGTAAGGCGGACTCGCCAGGCAGAAAGTGCCGATAAGGGCAGCGCTCGGGAAAACCAAATTGTTATTTAGTATATTCGATACTTAGCCGGCTACACCAGTCATAACAAAAAGTATATTCGAAATGTTACAGCTTTGTCATCACGATTGCATCTCCTGCACCCAGTCATTGATTTCAGTGACAGACCGGCGTGCAGCCCCCAGTTTCACGCCTTGGTTGATGAAAAAGCCAGGGTCTTGATCTTGGTAAATCTGCTTCAGATCAAGGCAATTGTTCAAGGCTATATCACGTGCCTTAATAATATTGTCCTTGAAGCTTTCAGTATTCACTCGCGAGAGTTGCCATGCAGCGTAGTTCTCTACTGCTACTTCCAACGGACCGGGGACATTGATAGAACTACTAGGCGGTGAGGAACTGAGTGCCGGTGGTTCCGCAGCAGCAGGTGGGAATATAGTCGTCGACCGAGGCGGTGGCGTGGGGAGGACGTTGATATTGATTGGAAATGGGGATCCACTTGCAGGATGCCCAGGGACCTTCTGTCGTTGTTCCAGCCGCTGCTGCTCCTCGGCATATAACTGCTCACGGATGTTGTCGGGCACATCATCGTGGCATTCAATGACACCCCCCTCCTGCTCCACATACCTAACCAGCTTCCTCAAATGGTGTGTGCGCAATCTATAATGCTTTTTCCCGACAGGGTCCTGCCAGCAATATTGCGATTCGAGGCGGCACGGGGAGCCAGGACAGCGCATTACTCAGTACATGTCCCGCCAGGCCGAGGGCTGCCCCGAAACCTGTTCCGCGTCAATCTCAGCGTCTCATGCATGGAGCATTCTTCTGGTCACTGAGGGTTGTCCTCTTTTGTCAGCGCCATTCGAAGGCTGGTCGGAATCTAGATAATTAATCGAGATACAGAGCCTCAGCCTTTTGCCTTGCTGAAATAGGTTTTGCCACATCATGAGCTGCTTTTGGATGGCTGTCCAGTCAACATCAGTTTTCTCAAAGCGCTTGACGAGATCGCGCTGTGAGCGATCATTTACAGAGACCACTACTGTAGTATCGTCTAGTCTCACCCGTCGGTTACGAGCTATCTTCCGACGTAGTAGATCTTCCGCTTTCTGCTTTATTCCTGACCAGTAGTGGTTGGGATCCAAACCCAGATCTTGTTCCGTGTCCTTCGCTACCACGCGGTTGTTGAGAGTTACTCTCCATTCAATCAAGTATCGGACCATTAAATATTGTTCGCCGCCATCTATTCCTGCAAGATCCCACTCCGTGTCTCGAATGTAGTCCTGAAGCGGCGAATGACGCAAGGGGGTGGAGCTTCGACGCCCACGACTAAGAGACGGGCTGTATCTGGACGGCGTGCCATCGCGGCTAAAGATTCCAGGAGTGGGAGCATACGAAGGGGTGCATTCGCCTGGAGCAAGGTAACGTGCCGGAGAGGCAGTTTCACTTATTGGGCTAAGTGCCACGTCATCAAGGCAATATATCCCGCCGAAGAGCCTATTGTTGGGAACGATGAAATGTTAGCTGGGGAAAAGCGGTCCTTCGCATGATCCATTTGGAGGACCAAGGGCAGTTTCTGACATGCTAAATAGGATAATAAGCAGAGCAATATGCGCTGCACTACTCATGCTGTTCGTGTGGCACTAGTCCATGCGATGTATGATGGGAACATGGAGGTGAGGAGGGGCATCGTCTGCGTGCCATGGATACAGTCACGGTGCCTGCCCGGGCCGGGGAGGTTCCAGATCCTTCCAAGCCACGTACTAAAACATTAGGTGACAACATATCACGTGACTATAGGCAATGAGTAGTCCTGGGGCCAAGGACTAGGTGTCCTATATTAGTACCCTTGTCTACTCGCATCAATTAAGAGCAGGTTGTCCACCACAAGTCAGTGTATGAGTATTTTTATGTAACACATCTAGCCAGCGGGAAATATGTACCTAATCATAAGAAACACACCTCCATCTTCGAATTGTATGCTAAAACTTTCCTTGACATGGGCTTTCTTATTAACCCCTGACTCGGGCCGATGTAAGCCCGATGAACCTCTATTCGCGGCCACGCTCCTCGACTGATCCTATCACCCGTGGCCGTAGACACGATATGAAGAAAATTACAGGGACTGAGAGCCTACCGTAGTATTTCTCTGCGTAGTATTATACCAGCTCTAGTATCCTAGAAACGCTTTTCTCTCTTTTGTCACGCTGGTGAAAAAGCCAAGACTGAGATGCCGATCGCCGCAATGGCGGACATTTCGGAAACCTCTATCTTCCAATCACATAGCAGATATGGCTGTGGCTGGCTAAAGGCGAGCTGGCAAATCCTTGTCCTTCAGCCGTGCCAGCTCATCCAAATATGCGCCTTGAAAGAAAGAACATGCTTGGTTTTCCACCACAAATAGTCTTTACCACTTGATCATGCATGTCAGCGGAGCTGTTTTTTGTCGCCGGTCGAAGGTGGGGGGTAGAGCTGATCTCTTCGGAGTTACATGCACAGCTCGGACTTACTTAAGGGGTCAGTCCCACATTTTCTTGTGACTATTCATAGGCCACCCCGCTTTTGCCTTCATCTTCTGGCCTGTTTGAAACGTCCCGTGGAATACATTGTGAAACTGAACAAGATTCGTTGATGAATCTAGACAAGATCATCTAGGGCAAATACGCATTTGTTACATATATGTGGAAAATGTCCTCTACACATGAACAAAGTTCAAATATGTCTGTTCCCTCTTCCGCTTACTCACCACTTCCACCGAAGTCATATACACGAATGATCCGCCTTTTGCCAGACAAGGATAAGGACGCCCCAATCAGATGTGAACTTTTCAGCTACAATTTATCACGCTCAAGCAACGGGGGGCATCTTTATGAGGCACTTTCCTATGTTTGGGGAAGCCCAGCCAGATCCCGTTCCATCATCCTCAATGGCTGTACTTTTCCAATAACGGAAAGCCTTCACACCGCATTGTTGCACCTCCGGGACAGTCAGCTAGACAGAGTATTATGGGTTGATGCGATAAGCATAAATCAGGATGATGACAGCGAGAAGGGCAAGCAGATCCCACTCATGCGGATGATTTATGCACAAGCCAGACGTGTTGTTGTCTGGCTAGGAATGGACTGGGGATACGGGGATAAAGCGCTTGAATTACTCGGTTCTCTTGGCAGAAAACAGAATACAGAGTCAATAAATGAGAAAGATCGGGAGAGATGTGAGGCGTTGCTACAACGAGACTGGTTTCGCCGTATCTGGGTAAGATAATTCTATTAGTTCGAAAGCGAGGGTGCTAATAACCTGTCTTAGGTACTGCAAGAAGTGGGGGTCGCTCAGTCTATTTCTATCATGTGTGGTGCTGTTCAGATCAATGGACATATTTTTTGTGAGGGTCTAGATAATCTGGGGCCTTCTTCCACACTCATGGCTAGAATAAGCCCGGTCTCTTATCTTATCAAAGGTGCACTCTTCCGGTCTCATGGTAGGGATCTTTCCGTTCCTACACTTTCGATTGGTGAGCTTGTCAGCATGTACCGGAATCATAATGCAACAAAACAGCATGACAAGGTGTATGCATTACTGGGCTTAAGTTCCGACTGGAATAGTGCTGCCTTGGTCCCAGATTATGAGCTTCCATGGCATGAGGTCCTCAGGCGAGTCACACAACATGTTTTTCCGAAATGTTCTGTGGAGATATGCTATGGGTCAGAAACAGCTATTATCAAAGGTAAAGGATGGATTTTGGGTTATATCTATTCAACCAGCGACTCTCTACAAGACAGTCAACAAACTTTCAAAGTTGCTTTCAATAAAATTTGCCAGAAGCTGGGATATCGTGATAAGTGGAAGGCTGAATGGAGTCTACAAGCTTCTGGAGAGTTACTTCAAGATGGTGATATTATCTGTCTTCTTGAAGGCCTGTCACAGCCAAGTGTACTCAGATTATGTGCTGATTACTACACGGTGGTAACACCTGTGGTGAGACCTAAGCAACAGGTACAGAATACCGAGGATGATGTGACGGTCCGTGAAAACTGTTCTGCACATGGTCTGTGTGATTTTTTCATGGGCTGGAAGGTATCCGAGCTGGAACATGAGACTGATGGAGAATGCCTATCAAAGCTTACTGAGATTACACCAAAGTATTCTAAAGAACATTGTGAAGCTGAGCGAAGACTGAACTATACAACGACTGCTATGGTAGATGCTGCAATGCAGTTATTGAAACTGGGAGAAACTGGAAAAAGAGCATTGGATAATATACTATTCAAGGGCAGGATGAAAGGCGTGGATACTAATTTTCTTCTCTCGCAAAGTGACGGCAGAGTCTCCGAGGATTTGATAACTGCAGCTGCGGCAGTTCTGTGGCAAAAGCATGAGTCCCCCTATGCCTGGCAGAAGTTGCTCACAGTTGCAGTACGGGATACTCAACCCTGCGGATTTATTGTTACAAGCATTCTCCTGCAGCGTCTACAGGACAAGCTACCAGTTTCTGAAGAGGTGGTCAAGGCAGCGGCAGCGAATGAGTATCAAGGGCATGAGATCATGCAGCTGCTGCTCGAGCATCGTGGGAACAAGCTACCAGTTTCTGAAGAGGTGGTCAAGGCGGCAGCAGCGAATGAGAGACAAGGACATGAAATCATGCAGCAACTGCTGCTGGAGCATCATGGGAACAAGCTACCAGTTTTTGAAGAAGTGGTCAAGGCGGCGGCAGCGAATAAGAGACATGGGGATGAGATCATGCAGCAACTGTTGGAGCATTATGGGGACAAGCTACCAGTTTCTGAAGATGTGGTCAAGGCGGCGGCAGCAAATGAGTGGCAAGGATATGAAATCATGCAGCTGCTGCTGCTGGAGCATCGTGGGGACAAGCTACCAGTTTCTGAAGAAGTGGTCAAGGCGGCGGCAGCGAATAAGGGACAAGGAGATAAGATCATGCAGCAGCTGCTGCTGGAGCATCATGGGAACAAGCTACCAGTTTCTGAAGAAGTGGTCAAGGCAGCGGCAGCGAATGAGGGACAAGGATATGAAATCATGCAGCAGCTGCTGGAGCATTGTGGGAACAAGCTACCAGTTTCTGAAGAGGTGGTCAAGGCGGCGGCAGCAAATAAGGGACAAGGGGATAAGATCATGCAGCAGCTGCTGGAGCATTGTGGGAACAAGCTACCAGTTTCTGAAGAAGTGGTCAAGGCGGCGGCAGCGAATGAGTATCAAGGAGATGACATCATGCAGCAGCTGCTGGAGCATCATGGGAACAAGCTACCAGTTTCTGAAGATGTGGTTAAGGCGGCGGCAGCAAATGAGAGACAAGGGGATAAGATCATGCAGCTGCTGTTGGAGCATCATGGGGACAAGCTACCAGTTTCTGAAGAGATGGTTAAGACAGCGGCAGCGAATGAGAGACAAGGGGATAAGATCATGCAGCTGCTGTTGGAGCATCGTGGGGACAAGCTATCAATTTCTGAAGAGGTGGTTAAGGCAGCGGCAGCGAATGAGAGACAAGGATATAAGATCATGCAACTGCTGCTGAAGCATCGTGGGGACAAGCTATCAGTTTCTGAAGAGGTGGTTAAGGCAGCGGCAGCGAATAAGGGACAAGGATATAAGATCATGTTACTGCTGCTGGAGCATCATGGGAACAAGTTACCAGTTTCTGAAGAGGTGGTCAAGGCGGCGGCAGCGAATAAGGGACAAGGGGATGAGATCATGCAGCAACTGCTGCTGGAGCATCATGGGGACAAGCTACTAGTTTCTGAAGAGGTGGTCAAGGCGGCGGCAGTGAATGAGTATCAAGGGCATGAAATCATGCAGCAACTGCTCGAGCATTGTGGGAACAAGCTACCAGTTTCTGAAGAGATGGTCAAGACAGCGGCAGCAAATAAGGGACAAGGGTATAAGATCATGCAGCAGCTGCTGGAGCATCGTGGGAACAAGCTACCAGTTTCTGAAGAAGTGGTCAAGACAGCAGCAGCAAATAAGTGGCAAGGACATGAAATCATGCAGCAGCTGCTGGAGCATCATGGGGACAAGCTACCAGTTTCTGAAGAGGTGGTCAAGGCGGCGGCGGCAGAGCAATGGAAGCAGCCTACATAATCATGTGGCAGCAAATTTTTTTAAAATCATGTCATCTATCCCCCATATTTTCTAACCTCTTTGCAAAAGAAGGGCCTGGGATGGCAAGGGTTTATCTACGATTGTCGTTAGTTACGAAGAACTGTCCAGGACTTTCCGGGTGATTCCGCAGAATTATGTCAGTTTGCCACCTAACATTATGTGTCCGGATATTACGGGACTGTGTTTCACTAGCATGACATCACGTTGCTGCGGTGTCGTTTGATTTCAGGGCAGCGCTATACCATACGTAATCGGACAATGAAGCGGCGCGACAACGAGCCGCCGCTCTACCTACCAAATATATAACGATCAATCAAAATCAAAGCAATTCAGCATTATATAGATGAATATATATGATTAAAATAAAAATTGACTTTATCTACATATTCAACTAATTATAATTTTTTTATTATAATTACTGTAGTATAATAGCGAGTAATAGATATTTTCTATTATCTGCTTATCTTAATATCAAAAACTGCAGTATACACTTTTTTCATGGCAAACTGACCGTAACTAAAGACTTTACAGGTAAGTACTAGTCTTCTATCTTAATAAATTCTCTTACTATATTTAAATCGCTTCAATTCTGACTGAATTTAGTAAGATTGAATATTGTATATCTTCGAGATATAAGGCGGTGAGGGTCACCGACGGCTCGTTGTCCAGTTATTATGTAATCTATTATGGCAAGGATGCTTAGATTGCCGGGTCCGTGACTAGAATACATGTCATTACCGTACAGTAATCAATACATCAAGATTGTCGGTTAACACCATTCTATACTTGGATTAGCTTGGTTTCATCTCAGGGTTGCTGAAGCAATCAAAGAGCATAAGTGGTGATTCCAGTATCCGGAAGAACTGTACGATATTTCGAACATGGGAGAAGAAAGGAAGGACTATGACAAGACTATCCGAGAATGAGTGAGGGATAACGCAAAACCAAAGATGCAAAGCACGGTTGCAGGCCGGTATTGGCGCAGCGTCTCTCCGTGGTTATCCTCGCATCACCTCCACATAGTCAGCTCTTTGAACAATTCGAGATTCTCTTCCACGATCCAGCCCACTACTAGATAGTGTCGGCTTCGTTGCCCACCACTATTGACCACCCGCTTGCTGAGTACAATGAATTCATCAGACAGCCTTTTATCGACCTTGCTCCGGTCAGAGAGATCAAGCTCAGCAGTATCCGAATCACTTACAGCTGCCGAGCCCGACCGTTCGTCTGTTTCCATGTCAGACCCCAAGAGCTTATATCCACAGCTGTGTTCGGATTCGCCATCTGACGTCTCGAAAAGAGTACTGCCATTTGACGTGCCGTGGGAGTAACTGCTGTCCAAAGTTGAGTAGCTTAACAAATCAGACATGCCGTCATCGAATAGCAGCTCGGAAGGGTTGATGTATCTCGCAGAGATATCATTCATAGGATTATTGCCATGGCAGGGCGGCTGCATCTTTGCGGACCGCGTTGGACTCAGCTGCTTATCTTGTATTTGTGGATTGGGGGCTTATCATGATAGCTGGAGGTAGCGGTATATAAATGTCTTATGGCAAGTTCAGAGAGCATTGTTCGACTTGTGTGGGGTCACGCTATATAGTATATTTTTAACAACTGCATATGGGCCTGATCTTCAATTTGGAAACCAGCCAGGAACTATGATGCCTGGGACCAATACTTTTAGCATGTCAACCGCGTTAACGGCGATCTACTGATCTCTAATAATCTAAGGCTTGCAAAGATAAACAATCAAGCTCTTAGTATAACGTGGACGTGTGAAAGCGAGCAGAACTGAGAAAGAGTAGTTTTCAAGGGCCTTTAATATCAGCCTCCGAGGTAGGTTATGAGACTGAAAACATCCGGCTGAATAATATGGCGGGGGTATTGGAAGTATGGGGCGGGTGCTGAGCAGCTCAGACAACCACCCCGGGTCTCTCTGGTGGAGTCGGATGCAGAAGGTGCTGTCTGTCCAGACCCCGTGCCCGCTTGGCCTACAGCTTCTATATAAAGGGTTATGCGGTTATCAGTTGCGTGCAGAAGTAATCCCAGTTCCACTAGCCTATAGTTTCATCATGCAGACAGGACAGGCGCCCCCATATTAACCAACTACAATGATCCTAGCCGGGTGTATGAACATGACAGCCTATCTGAGACGTGGTATAACCTTATACTGATCATACAGAGTCCTCTTTATCCCTTGTAAAGCCTAATAGGAAACTATCCAGAATGCAACACTGATAAGAAGCCTATTATACTCGGAGGTTATCAGCCAGTTATAGAGATATGCTGGCATTTCTTTATATTTATATATATACTGAAAATAAATCACAGTAAGTACATATCAATGACTAGAGCAGATTGAACAGATCTACTAAGATCTGAGAAAAGACAAGCACGTGTAAACACCGCCCTAAAGGATACCCACAGACTTGGAAAGAAGTCCTTGAATCTGGCCTACCTGATCCAGTGCCTGACAGATACCGGCTTGCAGCAAGGCACAAGACAATTTCAATCACTTGTTCTCTTCCTACAGCGCACGTCGTTCTGCATCCCAGTATCCTCGTTCCTCAAGCAATTCCCGTGCGTGAGATTCGTTGATTCTCTACCATTCGGAGCATAACGCCTCGTTTTCTTGCTCAAGCTTGCAAATAGTAGCCGTGGAGCTCTCACCACGGACAGCCCCGTCATTCGCCCCGTTATCAATCAAGACATAAATGTCAGATTCTTGAGGCTTCGGAGCAGATATGCCAACAGGGCTCTCATGGCTTGGCAACGTGTGCGGATCCACAGCCTTAACATTACCATTCTTCAGGGCTTCTTCGATTGCCGGTAATAGCTCGACAGCGCAGCAACTGAGGTTCTTCTTGAATGTGGCATGTAATATCTCAGGCACAACCCATCAGTACGGATCCTCGGGGCGGGGTTGCAGCTGGACATGCTTCGGATCGATTTTCTTGCTGAGACATTGATCTGGTGAAATATCATCACTCAGCTATGCCTCTCCAGTATCTCTAATAGACCCCCACAGGATGTGTAAGGGGCTGTTTCACCTACATATATGGTCTGTGAGAGCCTTGTGGCATTGGAGTCTCCGGGACGACCTGGTGGGATACCGGTTAGAAGACATGTCGCGGGGTTACTCGCGACCGTGACTGGCATTTGAGTTGAAGCCTACTCGGGATGTCGGTACGCAGCCGCGTGCTCGCCGTATTTAAGAGCCTTGGTGACAGACATTGTAGGCTCTCCAGCCCGTAACACCATGTCTCTCGTTCATAGTATGATATTCAGGTAGTGGCCCCGAACCGCAGTTAGATGTGCGTGATGATGGAAGGGTGCGCCAGTGTAGTCGTTCAACAGACATGCCTCTCTCCAGCGATGCCCTGTCAAAAAGGTACCTGTCAATATCACCGGGCCGTGGATTGCTTCTCGAGTGGGTCTATGTTCGGCGCACGGGCTCTTCAGGACAATACTGCTTACTGTCCCAGCCTGCTACCTCTCCTGGCTGCGTTGGTTCTGTAACGAGCATCGACGCATTAGGTGCATGACTGTGTACGGGGCAGGTCAGGGCGTTGTAGAAGCCGCTCTAATGGTATCTGCTGCTTTCGCCAAGGGTCGCTTGTCCCCATACAACACGCGCATTGTTTGCTTTCTACGGAGCATCTACAGTCGCCCAACCGGACGAGCCTACGGTGACGGAACGCGGCTTCCGAAGCCATGATATCTCGGTCGTGCAAGGATCAGGATTGTGAAGTTGGAAGTAGCAGACATCAGTGGATTTGACTACCCTCCAGGACAATGGCCAGCATATCCGTCCTCGGTTTACACCTCCAGCACTGTATCCGGCACAGTAGTGGTCGCCCTCCAGCTATATTGATGGATATAGTGATTAAAGATAGTGTGAGCTCTGATGTCGGTCAGACCCCGAGATGCATAAATGCCTGCACGATATATATGGGCATCCAAAGCACTACATCTACACCCTCCATTCCCTGCTGCCCCTCTAATATAGTTGTCTGATCTTACATGCCTCCCCAGTCAATCATGCATGAATTGATAACAGTCCCCTTGGCTCTCAGACCCCGCCAAACATTGGAGACGCCTGATCAGCAGTAGTATATTGAACGGCCGCTGAATTACAATTGGAAGAAAACCCTCAGAAAGAGCATACAGTTATATCTAGCCAATAATATTGCGAGGCAGCATACGCAATGGCCATCACAACCAACACAAAGATACAGTGGCACGTGCTACGCGCAAGAACCAGTCAGTGGCTCAGAAGATGAAAAATGGCTGCCAGTCTCAAACTCGGATTACAAAAGACCGTTCAACGGAAGGATCTGTCAACTCCTCTTGTTACACTATAAACTGATTACATGCTACACATGTCATCCCGGTGGATATGAGTCTAACCTCTAGCCTCAACACCAAGGAAAAACAATTAGAAGAACTACAGGCGGGGAACCATGCATCTATGTTCAACTTGAAGGAGTGGCGCAGGATACACTAGCAGAGAGAAACTGAACCAGAGGACGGCAGCGTTGGTACAAATGATACTGTAGGGCAGCCACTAGCGCGAGTACAACGGCCGTCATCACGGCCGGCCTATACACGTTTCACAGTATGAAGAGCCCAACCAGAAAAAGGTCTAAGATATAGATACCGACAAAAAGTTATTATAGCACCTTCTAGTAAAGCATGCCTGCTGTCTCCACCGTACTTTCTAACATGTAAATAATCTAATAAGCATACACAATTCTAAATAATCCAAAGACAAGCATCCTAACCAGAAGAATGAGGGGTGACATCACGGAGAAGATCAGGCCTGCTAACAGTCAGTAAATACTATCCAAAAAACAAGTGCGCAACGCTCTTACAGATACATAGCAGATTTGTCAGCACAAGATAGATCAGGCTCCACGTAACAGCCTTACAACTAGATCTCCGCACGCGGGCGGTAAGCCATGTCCAGAGACTTTATAAGAGCTGGAAAAATGCTAAAACACACTGAGTGACTGCCTGCATAAGCAAGTACAAATAAAAGTAGTCACAAGCTTTCAGAAGATTCTTGCCCAGTATCATGGACACTGATTAGATACTTCAGAATATGTCTGGAATCATCATCATCAAGCTGAAGAAAACTGAGACTACAAGAAAGACCTGAACATAAAGAAAAAAGAAATAATATCACTGCACAAGAACCTGTCATACCACATCACTGTAGTAATGAAACAGCCGCGCCAACCTCACAAGCATCAAAGAAAATCCGTACATTAACACGGCGAGACCGGCCTGCGGCAAAAGAGCTTAGATAAAGCTCAGTTGGGTATTTGATAATCAAGCTAGAAGAGCGCTCAAGGAGCTGAGATAGACTAGCTGGGACAGCAGGCTAGTCATGGCAATAGGCACGACCCATAGCAAAGACAGGCATACGAGCATCACTGTGGCGGTACAGTTCCACAGGGCTCTGGCGGCTCAGCCCCGGTATATCTTGGCATTATGGATCGAAGATTCGTCAATAAGATGGGTTGCCATGGTCGATGGCTGCGACGACAGCGGAGTCTGCAGACTGAGATAGGCCACAAACAGCAATACAAACCGCAGAATCGCAACACTTCAGATACTCTGAATATCCGCTACCAGACCGTGAAGGCGCCGTCACAGATGACCGCGACCCAACATCTCATCAACCCATTCTTGTGGTCGCATCACTCTGGAGCGGAGTCGCAGCTTCCCAGACGGTCGGCTCCCTGCCGTGTGGAGCAGCTGACTATGTTCTGCCTCCTTGGTCGTACATTCCCTCTCGTGGAGAAGCATCACCTCCACCACGGCCCCGCCCAGTTGAGCGAATATCTGCGTCAAGGTTTCCCGGTTCCAGATCTCGGCAGGAATCTCGGTCATGAGGATGGTTGCGCTGACCCCTGACTGCGAGACCCGCTGGAGATACCTCTGCCGGGTGCGGGCGATCACGTCGAATTCGTCTGACAAGACGTGGCCGAAGTACAGATTGGCAAGCAGCGCGATGATCACGATGATCCAGCACCGCGCACCCTGGTCCTCAGGCACATTCGAGATACTGAGTTTGTCCAGGCCTGCTATGCTGTCGTTGCGGGCCGTATAATACACCAGCAGCAGCGCAGGCAGGATGGTTATTAATAGCAAGATCAGCAATTTCAGGGCCACGTGTAAGAACCGCATCATGAAATAGCTGTCCAGCCCGTGCTTCCGCTGCAGAGTCTCGTTATCACTGACCATGTCTTTCAGCCCCTTGAGCCAATCAATACCTGGCGGCAGCGGCCGGATCTCCTGGTCCTCTATGCAGCCCGGCTGGCTTTGGCGATCACGGTCAGCGTGGGACTGCCGAACAGCATTAGTGATCCCATCATACGTACAAGACCGCGTGGCTCACATTCTTCAGCCAGGTGAACAGGCCGACGCATGGAATGAGCAGGCCGCCGTAGACGCTTAGAGAGATCAGAAATGCCTGAGCAGAGAGTCTCTCTTCCTGTTAGGCTTTGCCGGCAAGATGGTCAAAGATCTGGTTCACAGTGTCAAGGTCTATGTTTGGACTTCTGGACAGTTACACGCAGCAGCCTGTATCTTACAGTACAGCAACAAGGGTGAAGCGCTGGCGAACCGCTCCCGTGTGGAGTGATCCCAGCAGGCTTATAAAGTGATGGAAGAATCTATGAAAAGCAGCCGCTGCTGGTTGCGGGAGTGCCTGCGGCGCCCGTCCAGTCTGGCAAGTCTCTTGATTGCCTGGACTTCATTTTCTGGAACCCTGATGACCTGCGTTATGTCCTGCAGCCAGGCCCCGTGGCTTTTACCGGGCAATGGAGTCTCCTCTCTATAAAGGCGCGCGAAGTGATAGGATTTATCTAATCTAGACACTATCCCTGTCTTCTTTATCCTCAGCGCGGTAGCAGCCATGGCCGTTCTCGCTTTGCATACGCCATAGATCATTCTTCTCATGATCAGTACATGTTATGGCATGATCATCTATGACAAAGTCGGCTGGCAAGATCTTGGACCTGATCTCAGATCTAGAACTACCAGCACCAGCACGATCTCGGAGCCTCATCATGACTCATACAACATTGCCACGCCTTTAATGGTTAACATAAGTACAGGACCCACGCCGAGTATGATTATCTATCCTCCTGTAATTAGGGAAAGCTGTTATAAGCAATGGACATCCTGTCCTCAAGCCCTGTCAGATGTTGGAATCTCCACAACCGCATCGCTGCGGAACTTGTCCAGCCTAACCTTCTTTAGAAACAAAACAAGACCGGTTATGACAAGGACTAGCACAACTGAAACCACCACTGTATCTATTTAAAAAGCTTCTCAGACGTCTTTAGGGGCGCCGGGCTTGACCATGTTTACAGTACTGAGTAGCAGCAGTATATCATATCTGACCCAGTCAGCAAGTATTGGCCGCACAGGAAATAATTTATTACCTTCATCTAGCACTTAATATACTCCAGCAGCATCCAGTTCTGCAGAAAGCGTCTGGAGAGGAAGAGGAAAAGCTAACATGTTCTCAGTCATCAGTCTTGCTTTACTCCATGGTTTAGTTCTCTGAAATAAGTTCAGGGTCAGGAAGACAACCCCACTTGGCATGTGTTGCTTTAGGACGGATAGGCAGGACATATATCTTCAAGCTTTACTCTTACTTGCATTACTAAGCTGTACAGTTCTAAGCGACTAGAGAAGACAGATCACAGAATTTGATCTATATGCCGGCTTCACAGGGCCAGACATCCGGACTACATCTTTCTTGGTTACTCTTTCTCTGCGCACCTGGTCGCAACCTAGTAGGATGTGCAAAGGTTGGTCAGTAGAGTCAATTCCAGGATATTATACAGTATTTAAATGATCGTCACTATATTAAGAGGGGTGTGCTGGTTATAGAGGGACAGTAGACATCAGCAGTGTTATAATACGACACGTTTATCTAGCGCTCAGACATTTCAATTCTGCAGGGGGTAAGGCTTGAATCTAAATATCTCTAGCATCATGCGAAATCTGCCCCAGAGATGTAGTAGAATCATATGGTTCGTCTCTTCATTCAAATGCCGGAACAAGCCGGATAGGATATATCTGACTAGTGAATACTATCTTACCCATCACGGCCATCTATACACACCCCGTTTATGGTTCTAAAGATATCATTAAATCCGCATCTCCCGGTTAAAGTGAAGTTCATCTGTTGATGTTCATTGCAGACACAGCCGTCCCTCAGACTCCAATCATGTTGGCATACCTCAACCTCGGCCCAAGGAACTGGTAAATAGCAGACAAGGTTGTTTGATAGACTTCTGAACAGGTCTCAACAGTCAGAGTCTTAGTAGAGTTGGCGAGCTGCCACAGATCACGGCACTGCAGTAACAGCTCTGCTTGCCCTGTCAAAGTGCTCGGTAATATAGTCAGTCAACGCTCTGACGTGGGCCCACATTTTCTGATTGTATTGGTTCTCCAGGCTGGGTCCAAATTAGTCCTCAATCACCCACAGGACAGACCAAGTACGGGCAGGCTTCAGGACAGGTACTAGGGATATCTTCACTCTTGTTGCAGATTGTCTACCCATTTTTTAAATGTTTCCTGGAGTGTTTCGTGCCGCTGCTCGAGGCTTGATCATCATATTCTTCAGCTATCTGGTTTTGAGAACAGTGAAGTAGTGGACCTCTAGCACATTGACCGGTGTATACTTTCGCGGAGCGCTCTGTCATGGAATCAGCTGTTGTGAGAAGCAATGGCCAGAAAGCAGGTCACCGTACTCGACGTCATTTTCAAGGTTTTGGGTCCGGGGTTCTTCATGGCTGCAGCAGGTTAGTGCTGGATGATCTGTAGGGGACGGGGCTGCGTACACCCGGTGATCCTGGTCAGCTCCCACCTTGTCATGATCAGTCGTGGTGGTCAAGAAAAAGGTGCGTGTACTGAACCTACGTGTTGATACTACTCCCCATGCTTTCACCTTCCAGGCATTGGCTATGAAGGTAGGAAGCAGTGGCTTTAGGCTTGAGGTGCTTGACCGGAGGTAATTTACACGTGACGGAATTACTAATATAATCAATCTAAGGGTCACGGCAAGCCATGTGCAGCAGCGTCAAGGTTAGAAAATCAGGGACAAGGCGTGACTTCAGATACCGAGCCTGCTCCTGCGTAGCAGAGTGGCAGAGGCATGTCAGGACGACTGGGGAGTCCACGGGGAATTGGGGTGAGGCGTGGTATTTTAATAGGCGCGTCGTGCAGGGCTGGTTGATCACGTTGAGCAGGAGGGCTTGCTCCTCACGGAGATTCTACTGGAAGCTGATTATTTGTGAAACATGCATCACCAAACTGTTGAAAGACTGCCTATAAGCCTGTTGATCTATCCTCCTGCGTAGTCAAACTCGCACCCTGCCTTATGTGATGCCCGCAGGTCCCAGACACAGTGGGCGGGTCTCAATTTCGGTAACGCGCAAGACCTTGATCCTTGATCAAACACAGCCGTGTCCGACACCAGATCATCTCACAGACCTAAGATAATAATATTTAGCCTATCAGCGAGTGTAAGCCATTTTTGTTACACGCAATCACTGCTGGCAAAATACTTCTTATCATATTATATATACTGCAGCCGGAGTACAGCAAGAATAGGATGATCCCTGATTCCTGCTTCTCCCTGTAGATATACCAAACAATGTGCTTATTCTGACCTATTTCACTTCCCAGATAGGTAGATGTGTATATCCTTGCAAGATCAATTGACAGCCCGGGTCATGAAATAGGGGATGTTGGAAAAGAGATCTGTGATCATAACTGACAGCGAGCAGGTATTCAATGAAGTCCTATTGGTGTGGGCAGGACTTTTGTCAGCGACTGTCATTATTCAATACTGTTGGATAAGTCTCCTCTTCTACACCTGAGGCCTGCTTAAGCTCAAGGAATGCAGGTCTACGCAGTTATGAGTTGCAACCAAGCGAAATTCTTGGTCCGGACTACGGCCAGGCGTTAGGCCCAAACCCGATACCCTGATCGTGAACTACGTTTACTGGAATCGTCCTACCCCATGCAACCCAGCTTCCGGTGCAGTGAGTCAATTGGGTGGTCCTCTAACAGTACAGTGTCTCCGTCAATCAGCATCTCGCCTAACCTGAACCCTCATAACAACATTTCCCATACCGGTTAGTCAGTTTTTGCTAGAAAGGTATCAGTATGGGTGATTATGGTCTTGGATCAGCGGGTGTGCTGCTCACGTACCTTGCAATAGTAATCTGGCATGCACCAACCCAGGCTTCCATCGCTTGCGCATCTGTCTTTATATTCTAAGCAATTCTTTACAGGGGTCTCCGCCACTGGTGTGACTAGGGCTGCAACAAACAGAGCAATACTGCATATAAGAAGTACATTAAGTTATATTTTTCACACAGTGCCTTTAGAGGATCTTGGATAGGGGAACATCAAAATATAAACAACGTATAATCGTTCTGTACGTTTACCAACCCAGGATTCTCTGCCACGGACAAGCAAGGAGGAGGAATAATAAGTATTTATCATCCTTGAAGCTGACCTTACAAAATATTATATGTTATGTATCCTTTCCAGCCCTCTCTATCTTTGTCCGTTGACAAAAGAAGGGCTGACGTGCAGGAGTATGAACCAAAAGCTGGAATATCAACATACCGGACTAAAAGAAAGGGGAAAAGCCGGGGACCGACCAAAAAAAAAAATAAAATAAAAAATAAAAGGGACCCAGGGCATCCGGTCCCTTGCATTAGTAGCTGCGCCGTTCCTGGGGCAAGAGAACTTACTGTGAACTTTTCGTGACAGTCTATGAGCACTTGTATTGGCCGCACTGATCCCGAACCGACGGGCCTGCTCTTGTCGTCACCGCGCCGATTTCCGGACATAGCCCGCCTTTCTTCCGTCAACAGATAACGGAACTACAGAAAGGGGTCTGCCGACCATGGCTGGTGCACAGACAAGTCGTACGTAGTGTGGCGAGGCCTAACACGCCGATTGTCACCGTAGTGAGCTCCGGCACAAAACTCAGCCAATGATCCAACTGGCCGCTTGGCGGAAGAGCAGTAGGCTCAGACAAGTCTGTCCTTCCAATACCTCCTCTCCCAGAAGGAAGGGCATACTTGCCGGAAGGGACAGAACAAGATGCACGATTCGAAGACTGCTGAGAGAGGAATACCTCCACTGGATTGGAATGTCTCCTCCCTCGGTCCATGTCCAGCGGACGTGCGACTTGCTCAATAATCTGTCTGAGATGGTGACTCTGTTATGTATGCCAGTGGCCTGATCAGGCATCTCCGCCTCGCCGCGGCCTAGATACAGTAGACTAAAGTTGCCGCCTCTGTATAGGTATGCTAAATGTTGACTATTGACTACAAGAGATTGTGGAGATTGAAGGTGCACATGAGCTTATGTGCAAAAGTATCAAGCCTCGTAGTGAGCACCACTTTTATCGTCATCAATGTTTCCGCAGACTATCCATTACAGAGCTGCTTCTTTGTGGAAACCTGCTGTAGCTCCGCATATGATCCAGAGTATGATCCAAAGCTGTATCACTGAGAAGAGGCCGGCATCATCATATCTTCTTGGTTGAATCCTACACAAGGTTGACCTGACCAGAAAGTACAGATTGAAGTTATTAGTAAGGCCGCTTCAGAGCCGTTTTCTGTTCGGTATGGCTGCCTGCGTGATTGGGCCTACTTGACAGGAGGCAGAGCCATCGAACATGTCTGCTACTTCTCTTCAACACACGCCGTCAGGAGTGTATGCCGGTGGTCCGAAAGTGCTGTAACAAATTCCATTAGCTTTCACGCATACCTGCACACCCTGTGCTTTAAAAGCCGAACCCGCTGTCCTATTGTGGGAAGCCCAGCCTACTGCCCAGAATGACAGAAGGATGCTGTCTCAGACACTACACTTTGAAGCAACATTGTGGCAATAAGGGTGCTCTATGGGATACTCGCAAGGAGCAAGATCATTAGGATCCTAGAGCAACATCTACACAGGCATCTGGTTCAGCTCATTCTCCGGGTTGAAAGCGCGGCTGTCTGCTCCTTATCCAAACTACTCGGATACCAAAGCTTCCCTAATAAACATGATCAAGTTGAGATATTTGTCTCAGCATAATCCAGGGTTATTCAACAAGCCCTGCAACTGAATCTCCCCTTTGACTTCCATTATTGCGTCCTTCACCAGGTTTTCGTCCAGCTTACTGCGCCAGTCTTGAAAAGTTGTGTCATCCATGTTCCCTCTTTGGATGAAGATTCTGGCCACCGTCTCAAAGTGGCAGGGAACGTGATGCGTACTCGGAAGACATTGCTGCATGAATAGAGCAACAGCATGTGTGCCCCAGTGAGGGAAATTGTGACTATGTTGACGCCGTTGGTCAATACCCACTGGTGTGGTCGCAGGCTCGAGACTTACATATGCCATATGTCTCGCGGTAGAGAATGCTAGCTCGCACGGAGGAGGTTGTTCCAAGCATCCTCCGCCTCCCTCTCCCGATTACCCAACGCCCGCATGTGCTGCAGCATTCGAACAGCAATGTCCGCCGTCGAAACGCACGGCTGCTGGGACTTCAATTCAGATAGATACTCAATCAGCAGCCCCAAGGGCGGAGAAGGCTGTGTGCTGTATCGACTGAGATGCTCTTCCGCTTGGGCCAAAGAAAGGCCTGGTTGTAGATAGAACAAGTCCAGCAGCTGGACTACCGCCCGCAGAGACGGAAACTGCTGCAAACAATGGCGGGACAGGAACCGCTCCACCGTGTCCAGCGAAGGCACCGGATGTGCGAGGCGTCTCACTAACTGCATGACATCAGCCGACGTCGGTACCGGCTGGGAGGTGAAGAGCCGTAGGTAGTCCAGCAGCTCGCCCATCAAGGCAAATGGCCGCGAAGCGCACGGACCCAAAAGACCCTCGCATTTACTCAGATCTGATGCCGGCTCCAGATAGAACTGATACAGAAGCTCTACAGTATTCTTGAAGGGCAGGCATGCCTGCGAGCAGTAGAGGTTGAGGAGTCCCTGGATGCTGTTGAGAGAGGCCGGCTGCTAATAATACAGGTCTAAGAGTTTGTCAATACTGGTGCGAAGCACTTTCTGCAGCTTCTGGAATAGGCCATAGCAGGCCCAATACAGGCAATTTTTATTATAGTACTACTTTATCTCGTGGATAAGCTCCAGATTCCGGTTTTCCATGGCTGTTGTACGGCAGAGATGTATACTATCCACTCATACAGCCTTGTGCTTGGTTAAATACTGGAGGCCTGTCATGCTTTCAAAATTAAACTAGAGAGTTATAGATATGGCTACTACTAATATAACATCCAGGCCTCTGATAAGAGTTTTACCCTGTGGAAATCTGCAGCCTCAGGTTTAGGTGATAGAATAATCCGGCCTATAAATATGCAGGATAGATATAGAGGAGTAACTAGATATATATTATATACAGTGAGTGGCTTTCTATCTAGCTCAGGATAGAATAAGGGCATTCCCTAGCTCCTTTTCTTTCTACTTTCTCTTATCTAAGCCATGGCCATTGAGGTCCCACAGATCTACACTAGATGGATGGGACAGAAGGCTAGTAATTACCTTGCTTTCAGAGATAAACATATTTTCTAGTATAAGCATCTGTAGATTAGAGAACTCTATAAAGTTATGATTATAAGCATGTGTAACTAACAGCATGCGATCCACCACGCGCCTCAAAAACCTGAGGTCCAACCTCTCAAGCGTCCCAGAGTTCTGCCAGATACATGTATCGAGGACAAGGGCATGTCTGCAGGGGCAGATTCCGTGCCATACCAAGCACGTCAGGTAGCGTAGTCGGACAAGACCGTCAATGCTGATCTCTTCGGCGATGCTAGACTGGCCAGTGCCTGTTTCATCGCCCGCCTGGGTATACAGCTCCAGCGATACGATCTGCGGCTGAGACCGCGGGATATAGCCATTCAAGTCCATGATCCCGTTGGGGAGCCATGGATAGCACCAGCTGCGGGGTCTTCTGTTAGCTGAGACAGAATAGGGCGCTGCTGAGACTGCTTACGTGAACTTCACGAGCGACCCGGGGCTGAGTCCGCGCAAGATAAGCTGGATGCTGAGGATGAGGCTTTTGGGGATGAGCATGTGGTTTCCTACAGACCATTGCGGGTTGTGTCAGTCGTGTAGTACGTGATCATGGCACAGGTTGTTCTATATCAGGGTCTCGGCTATAAATACTAACTCTTTTAGAAGTGATAAGACTAAGTCTGTATTTTGCTGATCATGGTAAGAAAGAAAGCTGGTAACCCTAGTAAGGGGCTTTTAGCGCGGCATGATAATACACAGTTCTCGGTTATAGGAAACTATGTTATATTAATTCTGATGCACCATTGTAATATAGACTAGATAATCTATCTTAAGCTTATTAATAAATTACTACAGATTACTAACTATGTGGCGGTTGCGCGGGTCTGGACTGGATTAAGTAGTAATAACCAGGCAAACCACAAGATATACCGCGGCGCGGGACGTGAAGAAGTACTTGCAATACCAACTTGGCCAGGAGGCTCTGCTACAGACTGCACTATTCTTCACTGTAAAAAAGGGCTATTCTGTCTCTGGCTGGTTGGTTCATTCCTGGATAAGCCAGCGATATATGCAGGAGCCTCTGCGCGCATGTTTCAGGAACATGTTGGAGCTCCCAGTTCAGGGGCGCAGATAGCTGGTCCCGAGTGACCCAACGCGGCGAGAAACTAACCGCTGTTGCACACTGTCTCCTGTTCAACCGGTCGATCTGCGCCTTCGAAAGCTGACTGCACGTGCCCGGATTTTATCCTGACCAGGTGGTACTCAGCGCAGTGATCTGCCGCCACAGCACCCCCAAACATTGCACGTCTGTGGCGCCTGGCAAGTGGTTATACAAAGAGAGATTGATCTCAGACAAGGTACTCGTCACCATTGAGCCATCCGGCTCCTGGCTACCGTTTCTGACCCACTCACTGGCCGCCTGCTGCTACGCCGCTTTTATATAATCAGGCAAACCGTAGAAGAAATAAACATGATTTTTTCATCAATGTGCTGGTGTGTTTAACAGTACCATGGACATTCCTTTCTCTCTATTTCTGGACAGGTACATTATACTATAAACTAAATATGCTGATAGCCGGACTGGTACTGTTACCGCGCTCATGATTCCTCTGCAATTGCTCAGAAACCCCCCCATTATTACCAGATGATAGGTGTTGACTTATACAATACCCGTGTCATGCATATTTCATATAAAGTCCCATCGGTGGGCTTGTTGAGGCAGCAGAGCACCCTCTCAGCGAAGCTCTTAAAGATTAGTGATGTAGAACCTCGATACAATAGACAGCCGCTGTCACGACACCCCAATGTGTTATGTGACAGAACTTCTGATGTTGACCCCCTTGTTTCCGCAACCGACGAGCACTTTCTTCACGAACCATTCATCGTGTAGCTCTAGCACCGGTTCTCTCAATTTCTGTAACACGACTGCCTTATATGCGAAAGCCAAATACAAAGCAGCCTTAATACTGAACTAGGAAACATGTCATCTTCTCTATACTAAGATCATATCCCAGTTATTCCAGATAACAGAGATTATGTGTAAGATAGATGTGTATTACTGTAGTAAGGGAAATAACTAATAAAGTAATATAATACTGATATTGACAGCTCACTGTCTCCGAGATGACTGGATACAAGCTAACCTCTTCTATACTGATAAAACATTAGTTACCAGCATCTTCGCATTATATACTTATAAGCTGATATAAATAGCTTACATGTGTTCTCTAACATTCCTGATTTTCTTTAAAGACTTCCAGAGAAAGTCCATACTAAGTAACTTCAGATTTTTATTTGCTAAGCCAGTTTAGATAACAAGATCATTATCAGATGATTACTAACAACTAAGATGCCAATAATTGATAGCTATTATAAACTACTGATATTAACAGAACATGATCATATCTAGTCAGGGTAATAATAAATCTCTATAACACTGTCTCAACTGTTGAGTCAAACAATAACAGCCTTGTGGTTTATAATATAATTAGTGAAACTGCTAAGATTCTGTATGCTGTACTCTATCTTACACTATCTGAATATTGTCTTTTATATCTTACTAGTTATATTTGCTTCTTTTTTTCCGGGTGATTTTAATCATTAAATCAGGGTCTAGCCAATAGGTCTTCCCTGGGTCTCTTAACTTACTTCTCTGGGCTTATTATATTAGACTAATAAATCAGTACTATATACTTATGGCTTCTACAGTCTATTTGCGGGCCCGGGGTTCTCTTGGGCCTGTACTACTCACCATATATCTAGAGCAATAATTTTAACATAAACAGAAAGCTCTACAAGATGCTAGGTAGATACTCTTACATATTATTATACTATGTACTAGACAAAGTAGGCTTGGTTATCTGATTAAGAATGCCTATTCTATGAATTCTATCAGTATAGTAGAAATGCTGAGAGTTACTTGAAACTTGTAATATATATCATCATCTCATGTCAGGTAAATAGTGTAAATAAGGAAGTAATTTTAATCCTTATATATAGGTTCTATTGAACGTGCAAATACAGGGTAGTAATAGATAATTCTAACCTAAGAATACTTCGTGTATCTACTAGCTAGCTTTATCCGATCTATATGCCTCCGAACTAGTCAAGGTGGTGACTAGTGCAGTTCACATCCAGGACAGTTCTGGTGAATCCAGTAACTGGAGCAGATATGAAGGGAGTATTACTGACACAGGCAATGAAGATGCTGGCTTTATTCTCAAGGTTGTTAGAAAGTAAAGACATTATGAAGAATCAAACCCACAATGCAATGGCTCAGGATTGAGAGAAATGGATGTATAGGTATCTTGATATAGAGTAATTCTACTGAAAATATCTTGCCTGCTTAAGGTCTCCGCGCCTTGTATATATACAAGGTGTAATAAAACTCTAAATCTGTTTTAAAAACCTCTGCTTATATTGTATCCATGACTGATCTAATACTCTCATGTATCTAATCATATACACGAGTAAAAGATACTATATAAAGCAGCTAAATACTGTTGATGAATGCTGTCCTGTACCATCAGGCAGCTACTCTATTATAATCTAATAACTTCTTTAGATTTATAGATAACATGACTTCTCTATACTTGATATCACTAAACCCAGCCTCCCGGAGCTATTACAGTGTTTGTACTGGAAAATAGGCAATCTCTCTCTGTAAGAGCTGTATCATACTTTTCAGACTTTGATACCAGTAAGATAAAAGGCTGTTTTCTAATGGTCAGTTATGGCAGCGCGGCTTAAAGTTTATCTTTACTTGCTCGAACCAAGCATCGCGGAGAAGATGGTCAAAAACTCTAATATAAAGTCTTGGCTAATTAGTGATGCTACCGCATCTTATTTATATATGAATAATATCTTACTACCCGCTATCTATCAGCTAGAAATGCTCGTAGTCAAAAGAAACTACAAAGGCACAGTTTGGCGGATGAAAGTCTGGCTGTATTACTGATATGTCGACCCCCAGCACATAGGTATTTAGATATGCTTCCGCCATTTCAATCACCCAGATTCCCATTCCACACCCCAGATCAAGAAAGCGGCCGTTGTGGGCATGAGGGATGTGACCTAATCTGGCTGGCCACAGGGCTTTCATGACTAGGGCGTGCATGAAATCAAGACAGTCCTGCTCTGTCTCATCGCAGGGTAAGATGTAGCTATTGATCCCCTGGCCCTGATAGATGCGCCCGTTTTCTTGGCACATTTATCACGTTGGGAAGCTGTGACTACTACCAAGTGCGTTCTTGGCTAGAAACGCTGCCCTCTTTCTGTTATAGATATCTATAAGCAGAGGGGAGGTGCCACTGGGCTCAGTGACAGGCTTGGAGAGCTGATTTTCCTGAGATATCTTCCTGGATATGTCCTGACCTGAACCAGTTGCAGTCTTCAAGTGGCCATTCTGGTTCAGATCGCCAAGGGGGGAAATAGATAAAGCATGATTTCTCTTTGAGATTGACTCCCGCCGTATTTCATCCGACCTATGTCTTGGATCGGGTGTATTATGGCACAAGCTACCCGGGTCGCACATTCGTCGGTCCGCTGGTAAGACTTTAGCCAGCGCAAGAGGCGATGCGCCAGGTATGTATTCGCTTTTTTGGTATATTCAGAATTCGCGGAACGACTTGCCGAAGGTTGTTGGCAAGATGCCGACACGCGACGCGCGCGCGGGACGGGCCGAAACACGAACCTCTGAAGCCCCCGACCGCGACGAACGCGAAGAATCACCACCACGGCTACGACCCAAACGAGTCACCAGACCACTGAATAATTATGCCCGGGAACAGGAAGAGGAAGCTACAAGATATGCGTTGGGCAGTTAAACTGAACGCTGAGGGAGAGGCAGACTAAAGACCCGTAATAAAACCGCAGCAGAGCGCGTTGACAGCTCAGAGGATGGAACAGAAACCGGCAACAGCAACCCGCAAATGACTGAACTGCTCGCAGAGTTAGTCAAGTTATGAAGAGAAATTAAGAGAAGGGATGAGACCCACAGAGAAGAATTGAGGAAAGTTAAAACTCAGTTTATGAAAGCTCTTTCTGAAATGTAACAGGAACTAATAGAGCTATGTAATAAATTAGCTATATCCTAAACTAACCATAATAAGATACTTCGTGAAATCCAATTCCTATATATCTCTATAACCACCCCTGATCCTATAAATAACCTGTCCTATGCAGATGTCGCCTGCATTTCTCTAACAAGCCAGCTAAGCAATATACAGACTCTTTCCTTATTTAATATAATACTGACCATCCTTACTGATATATTATATTGCATGATAGATACCTTGAAGATGGCAGACAATAAAAACGATAAAGCGTCCGCAGGCCTAATTAAGGCAGTAGTAGAGAACAAGATCCGGGCAATGGAGAACCATACTAACTGGCGCTGTCGCGCGGTTATAGTGGACCTAAAGAACACTAACCAGATTCAAATTACTTGCCAAGATGAAGCTGAACATCAGCTGGTTAAGAAAGCTGCAGAAGTAATAATTAGTACAGGAGCCCAGGTGCTCCGCGACAATCTCTATCCAATTAAAGTTAACAGTGTCAGGAAGATAGTGGTGCTAAACAAAAATAACGAGGTCAGGGTAGGAGCTGCAGCAGCTTTCAGCAAGGAGAATAAAGCTACTGTTGCTAAGATCGCATGGATCAGCAGAAAGGAAAGTACAAAGGCTTATGGATTAATAATAGTATATCTAACTAAAGATACCAATGCATGAAGGCTCCTGGCCGAGGGGTTCTTCCATGCTGGGGGAGAATCTGGCATTACCAGCGCCTTTGAACATTGACCACGACCGACACAATGCTACAACTGCCAAGAGATCGGACATAAGGCATTCCAATGTAACAACGCCCAGAAGTGCGTGAAATGCGCCAAGAAAGGCCACTGCCACAGCATCTGTAACAAGACAGTCTTTAAGTACGTTCCGTGCGGAGGCCCACATGAATCGTACAGCAGAAATTGCTGGAAGCTCTATCCAGTGTAACATAAATAAGACGCTCTGAATAATTCAGCTAAATATAAGGAAACAGGGAACAGTACATGACAGCTTAATGAATGATGAAGAAATTCAGAATGCAGTGGCAATAGCAATCCAAGAACCTCAAGCGAGAAGAATTAACGGCTGACTCTTGACAACTCTGACAGGATATTACAAATAGACAAAGATAATCCTCTCCGCATGGAGGGAAGGCAGATAAGTAATCTAGAGCATGCTTTGGGTAAGAAAGGATGTGGAAGCAGAGCAAGTACTAATTAAATCCTTGGATCTGATAGTGGCGGTTATCCGGCTTCCCGAGCGATTGATTTTCATAGCATCAGTCTATATGAAAGAGGGAGATGCTCAAGCCTTGCGTGATATATGCAGTAACCTATATAAGATAATTACCAAGGTAAAGTGAGGTATAAGCGCAGTGGTAGAAGTTCTGATCATAGGGGACTTTAACTGATATGATTAACTTTAGAGAGAAGATGATATGTTTTTGAAGAGACAGGGCGAAGTAGATCTAATTATTAATTTTATAGATGAATTTACTCTCGGCAGTCTACTAAAATGAGGCATAAAGATATGGCAGGGGGGAGGACAGGGTAGAGATTACAAGTTAACTATCAACCTTGTCCTTGTCTCGGAAAATCTGATAGGTTCTATGATCAAGTATGCAGTACATAGGATAGAGCACAGCTCCGACCATCGCACAATCAGGACTGTGTTTGATGTTCTGGTTCCGGTTTCCAAATAGCAGGAGCAACTGCTGCTCAAGAATGCACCATAGAAGGAGATTAATACCAGAATTACAGAAAACCTGAGTAACACTTTGTCAGATAGTACAGTACAGCAGAGAACCGACTAATTAATAGCCGCAGTATTGGAGGCAGTGCATGCCTTGACCTCAAAGACTAGACTGTTACCTTATATAAAGAGATGGTGGATGATGGACTTAACACAACTCTACTATATCTATATATACTGGAGAAATCATGCCTGCTCAGAGCAACGGGCAGGACAAATCACTTTATAACTAGAAGAGACAGCTAAAAATACAGCGAAGCAATACCATGATACTATCTAGTAGTAAAAGAAAAAGAACTGAAAGGAGTTCCTTACAGATAATAATAATATATAGAAGGCCACTAAGTATCTAAAGTCTGGAGATGATATAGTATTTAGAAAGATACCACAGCTTATCTGTATAGATAGAATCATTACTACTAATTATAAGAAACAAGTAGAAGAGCTTCTAGCTAAATTCTTTCCTTCTTTACCAAATAACATTAAGAAATAAAGAGCCAGGCTGTAAAAAACACCTGTAGAGATGCCTGCCATCACCATGGAGAAAATAAAGTAATAACTATTTAAAGTAAAATTATAGAAGGCACCGGAAGAAGATGGCTTACCAGCAATAATTTGGAAGATGATCTGGCCTGTGGTTAAGTACAGGGTTCTTGACCTGTTCCAGGTGTTACTAGAAAAGGGTATGCTACCAAATCAGTGGAAACATGTGAAAATCATACCACTTAAAAAGCTAAATAAAGAGAACTATACTATTATAAAAGCTTGAAGACTGATTTTACTTTTCGCGATACTGGGCAAGGTCTTAGAATCCGTGATGGTAGAAAGGATCTCACACGCAGTGGAAATATACAGCCTATTCTTAACCAGTCACTTTGGAGCCTGAAAACAGTGATCAGCAGAACAGGCACTCCTGCTCCTGCAAGAGCAAATCTATACGGCCTGGCATGGCCGTCGGGTCCTGAGCTTGATCAGCTTCAATGTTAAAGGAGCCTACAATAGGGTCTGCAAAGAATAACTATTCTAGAGAATAAAAGCGCGAGGCATACCAGAAAGTCTGATCTAATAGGTTGAGGCCTTCTACTCGGAACGAACAGCAACTATCTAAATTAATAAGTAAGGATCTAAGATACAAAGCTTACCACAGGCTGGATTATTGCAGGGCTCTCTCCTATTACTAATCCTGTTCCTTTTCTTCAACACAGACCTTGTATAATAATAGATCGACAGCTGCAGCAGAGTGATTACTTTCATAAATAACTTTACTGTATAGATGACTGGGCTAACTGCGCAGAGTAACCGGGAAGATATTAAGATAATTATTAATAAAGTTCTTGACTGGGAGAGGAGGAGTAGAGTGATATTTAAAGCAGATAAAACTGCTATTATATACTTCACCCTTAAAGCACACAAATCAGAACAGGAGTCTTTCACTATCAAGAAATAAACTATTGAGCCTAAAGGTTATATCAAGATCCTTAGAGTAGTGATAGATATTAGACTCAAATATAAGATATATATAGCCAGGGCAGTATCCAAGGGTCTAGAAGCAGTGATAGAGCTTAAATAACTTAAAGACTTATCTCTCTTAACAGTATGGCAGTTATTCACGTCAACTATTGCCCCAGTGGTAGATTATGCCTCTAATATCTGAATACATACTTTTAAGAATAAGGCCAGCAGGCCTATTAACCGGGTTTAACAGGTTAGAGCTCAAGTAATAGTAGGAATATTCTTTACTGTTACAACCAGTATAGTAGAAACAGAGGCTTACATTGTCTCGGCGCAAAGCTGGTTCTGGAAACAGGCAGTAAAGATATAGACAGACATCCATATCTTACCAGAAACTAACCTATTCTGCAGAAATATAGATTATATTAGAAAATTCTGAAGATTTTACTGCTTACTATTATATCAGATGACGGATATATTAAAAAACATTGAGATAGAAACACTGGAAACCATCAACCTATTTATATTAGCACCATGGGAGAAATAACTGCAGACTGATATTAAAAAAATCTCAGAGTTATTAATAAAAGCCGGCAGAGCTATGCAGATCGCAGTCAGCAGCTTAACATAGAATAAGATAATGGGATTTAGCAGAGTTATTCAGAAGTAACCGTCCAAGTATAAGAAGCCGAGATTAAAGACCTTCTCCGTCATACTGGGCGCAAGATTAGAGTAGAACCTATATTTGGGAAAGCTGGTAGTAATAATACATGTATTAAAGATGCTACCAGTACTGAAATTATACAGAATTATGTTGCTGATAAGTAATAAAGCAGCCGCATTTTCCCTGGGAAACCCGTGACAACAGTCAGGCTAGGGGCACGTGTGTCTGATATACAAGCTGATCAGAAGACTGTGAAAAAACAGAAATAAGATCATAATCTGCTGGATCTCTACAAGCAAGGAAAACAAACTGCTAGGCCTTGCTAAAGTACAGGCCAGGACAGTAACCTAAGAGGACCCCATGCCATACATACAGCTTCCCAGGATGAAATCAACCACTCTCAATATTACATAATCCTAACAAGACACTAGCAAAGGCCTGCCCGAGAAAGTAGGCAAACACATGAAAAGGGTGGATGCGGCCCTCCCAGGCAAGCACACTTGACTGCTGTATGATTAATTATCGTGCAAAGAAGCAAGCGTGCTGGCCCAGCTCCAGACAGGCATGGCAAGATTAAACTGATATCTCTACTGAATCAACGTTGCGGAAACTGATCAGTATAAATATAGATAAGTAAGAAAGATGGTAAAACACTTTCTCTTTTGATGTCGGAGATAGACAGCACATCGGACAGAAATACTGCAATACACCAACACTCACCGGGGCAACATATCCTTCTTCCTGGGCGGAAAATCGCCCTCAGATAACCAAGACTGGACTCCAAACTTAGACTCAGTACGAGCGTCAATACGGTTTGCAATCGCCACTGGCCGACTCGACGTCGCTTAACCATATCGTTGAACACAAATCACCCACCCTTCCCGAACTAACCCACACCAACCACCTCGTGCCAGACATGGTAGACGCGCTTCAACTGCCGAAGATGGGATGTTGAACACTTGGAGAAGCGCCTTCAAGCCAGCCTACTAACAAAACTACTAACCCACGAGAATCTCCTACAATACTGATAGACGGCACGACATATGCTAAACGTGAAACTGTACGGGCTAGAAGGAGACATGGCACCCGGTAGGAAATGTACTAGTAGATTAGCGATAGTTGCCCTTTCGGCTCAGCCGCCGGGCGTTAATAAATTGTTTGTTTTGTATTCGCTTTTTTTCGAGTCCTTGGGACGCAATGGCAGCAGAGGCGTCTGAGGCCGCGGGCTTGGAGGTTATGGATGCAGACTAAACAACGGCGACGGATATACGGCCCCTTTTCGAACGTAGGAAAAGACGAAGGTGATTTCTGCATTAACACTGGTATATATTTACGCTGATATACAATCAATCCAGTTTTGTCTTAAGTACTCTTACTTTGGGGGGAGGGGGAAGGAAAGCAGGACGGGAGTCACATAAGTTTTCTTTGTTTCGAAAAAAAGCGAGCAGCTACAGGATGATCCTGAGCTTGGAGAGGGTACGGTAGCCAATAAGAGAGGGGTGGAGCTCTCATCACCCCTAACACACGTCGAACGTCCACCCGAATCTGGAGCTAGCTGCGCATCGCCGAACCTGACCCCAGGTAATGGTTTCGATTCTGACGCAGATCAGGCTCCAGGAGGGAACAGTAGTGAACATCCATCGTGCTACCACACTGATCCAGCAACTGGAAACACCGCCAACTGAAAATACCGACCGAGAGTACACACGCCTCGGGGCGCCACAACGCCCCCGAGGAGTCCCGTCTGCGACCTGCACAGCGTATGGATATATTATGGTACATAGAGAACAGCCCCCCAGATGCGGAACAAGGTCCCACGAGATACACTACGCACTCTGGCAACAAACACACGGAGCTTGCGGGCTACGCGACATACCTGTCATGGCCTGGGCGGATGAGCAGATATATGGAATAGAACATGATAAGATGATTACACATGAGATTGCGGGGTCTGAGATCCGTCCCTAAGGAGTCTTGCACCAGAACCTCCCGCCGCACAGGATTCTGTCATACCTTGAGCTCGGCCTGAGCTCGGACGGGACCCGATCATTGACTTTTGCTGCCGTGAACTGGATCACCCACCGATGAGACGGCGGGCGGAGTGTGGGAAGCATTCGCGGGGAGGGGACTCTCAAGCCAAAACGACCTGGTACCGCCTAATAATGACGGCAGAAGAGATAATACCCGCTTACACACATGGGCAATATGAACCAGCAGTAATGAAATAGAAACTGAGAGTTCTCAGGCAAACGTAGGATGTTGTTCATAGCTGCACCCCGAACCGAACCACAACGATTAGTCAGCTTGATTATCATGGGGGAATATCTGTAAGGATCACCAAATGTCAATAGAATCAAAGCACGCGAATGTTTTGAAGGCTCCCTAAGGGTCAAAGTAAGGATACTTCTTTGTTGATAGCCCGAAGACAAGAAAAGGGTCCGCAACGGACCGATAGACCGCACAAGATGGATGGCTCATCGAAGTTGATGGGTATGCAAAATTGATCACTGTTCAACAGCAGTGGGGCCTCAGAAACGATGGGGGTCCACGAGCTAGGTTTATCTTGCTTTACATTCAAAGAGTGTTGAACCGGTAAGTTGCGAGGCAATAGTGCTTTGCACTAGCCTGGAGGCTACGCGACAAGCTAGCTCAAATCAGGAAGGAGCTCCACCGTTTCTGTCTGACCCTGCCCGGCTCATGTTCTTCGGTTATAAATCGTTAGCCTTATTTCTCCAAGAGCTTATCACGGACTACTCTCGTCGTGATCTTACCTTCCCGAAAAAGGATAAGGTAGTTGCATTTTCCGGCATAGCTGAGCGTATTAAGGAAGCTCTAGCTACTAAAGTCAGATACGGTGTCTTCCATTGCTTTCTTTCTCGGCTTCTCTTGTGGAAGCGGGCTGGAATGGAGAATGATCAAATTTTTTATGACGATGATTATATGCTGTCGTGGTCTTGGATGCTTTATAATGGTAAAATTGACTTTTTGACACAATCGGATCTTAAAGTCCCAAGACACCAAAGCCTGAGCTTTGACGAGTCCGAGCGCGGCATCAATATCGAAGTTCGACAATTCGAAGGTTGTTATACGCAAGAAAGGGATGGAGAGCATATAATATTCACCAGTACAAAGAAGGTCGAAGCTACGAAGGAAGTCGAAGTCGGCATCCTACATTTTGACACGAATTCGGCGGCCAAAGTTAAGTCTCGGGACTGTCTTGTCATCGGAGTGAGTAGAGATGACGATAAGGATGACCCTAACAAGGAATACTATATACTTACCGTACAAAAAACATCGAAAGAGAAAGAGTATGAAAGGCTGGAAGTTGGGCGAGTGCGAGCCGGCTACGTCTCGAAAGGAAGTACTTCTGGGAAGCTTCTGTGACCTGGCCGTTTCCCTCTATTCCATGTCATTGGACAACAGCAGCACGATAGTATTATTGCTCAAGTTGAACGAACTGAAGTAAATTCAGACAAGGATTCCTGGTGTTCAGCAGAGTAGTTAGACAAAAGGCAGACTATCAAAGATATTTCAGTTTAGTACTGTATCTCATTGCTGCTTGTCATGCCGTCATGAAGACCCTACTTGCTCTGGGGTAAATCAATGGTTGGGGTCTTTCGTACATAATAATAAGAGCATGGTGTAATTGATTCGTTCCTCTTTCAGCTCGCTGTCTTTTGTAATTCCCGTGCAGAAGAGGCCTGGGTTGTAAGGCTCATTCGCGATTCTTCTCTTGTTGAACTGTTTCTTTGGACCCACTAGTCGAGGAAAACGCCTTGCTTACGCTGCTAGTTGCAACTTGGAGGCCAATTACGTCCTGTAGAAACTGCCATTCCGCCTAAGTACAACGCTCTGCAGGAGGTATTCACCTAAAGTTCTCAGCATGGTTGCTGTCATTAGTCACTGGCCTAACCTATGTTTGTAGCTTTATGACCGCCTGCTTCCTGCGCTCGGCAGCTTCATTGGCTTTCGAGATTGACTTGCCACGACTGGCTGCATATTACAAATAAGCTAAATCGGTGCTGGCGACAAGTACGGAGACATCGCTCTACTACTTTCTGCACCACGGTATAAGAACTGTGGGGTGGTTTAGAGAAGCGAAAAGCAATACGAATGTGGACACCTGAGCATTGTTCCGGACATGGAAGCTTCTAGGTTCCTGTAAAGCTTTTACAGGTACTGTAACAAAAAGGAAGTAAGGTTATAATACTTACAAAACGGGACCAGTATTGCCAAGGAGTCTAATATGCACACTAAACGTATAAAGACTAGCGCAGGAAGGCTATGGATTGGGAAAGAGGCTGAGCGTCAAGAGGTAGGCATGGTGGTTTTGCAAACAACTGTATACCGTATACCTAACCATAGTCCATTTCATATACCCATTATGACGTGACGCGTGGCCGTTCCGGGCGTCGTGGTAGCAATCCGCAGTTCTCCTAAATAAGAGTTGTCGTGTGCTTGAGCGCTGCCCTTATCGGCGCTTTCTGCCTAGCGAGTCCCCTTCCACTTAGTGGGTTAACTAGCAGGGGTCCGTAACAGATACGTAATAGAAGAATTATATGACATTATGCTGAGAGACGATCCATACCACCGGTCGTTATGTCTCTGTAACATGCTTACCGTTATTGGTTAGCGTACATATCTCAGTCTTGGCAGTGGGGCCTTTAGAAAAGAGAACAGTAACACAGACGGAAGGCGATTCTGAATCTTACGGTACACTTGCAGGAAAAGAGCTGTGTTGGCGGTGTTTTTAGGATATCGAACCTAGTCACACGTAGGAGCATCCAAGATTGTAGCGTTGACACAGAACTCCTGGTCACATTACGTAGTGATATTTGCCGGTATACCGCTGGTGCTGTTATGCAACCGTCCATGACACCTAAAGCACAGATCACTCTGGGCCAGTTATGGCTACTGTGGTGCAACTTCGGATCCGTCCTCAAATCCCCAGCCGACAGTGGTGGTCTAAGATGACAGCTCGAAAGTGCTGCGTCATTCAGCTCTATCCGCGGCCGGTCATCGGGCGGGAAAGAATCTGCAGGAGACGAATAACATACGGCCCTCCCTAAGAAGAATTCGTCGCAGGGCCGCAAGATTCGCTTGATGCAGGCTGCTCCTTCTCCGGTCTCGGGGAATAATGATGCCCGCAGTACTTGTGGGCTGCTCGGCTACATTTTGGATGATGATGTTTTGGACAGGGAAGACCGGCTGCAGGTGCGCTTTTCTTAGTGAAAGTTCGTCTACGGTTGGGAATGCATCACCGGTCGCAATTAGGGGAATGCCCGACAGTTAGAGTCAACCTACTACTGTCTTGGTCGAGAAGAATAAACGGCCTGTCCAGGAGAAGAGATTGGTGGGGACCAGACGATCTGTTCACAACTCATATGGATCCACTCAGTGGGGCCTCCCTGGCTATAGGTGCAATTAGCAGGCGTTCAACACCCTAGTCGACTTGAGAATGAACGGCCCTGCTCAATGAGGGGGAACGGGGGCGGGAACGAGGGAGATGACAACCATGAGACGCTCAAGGGCGGTGTGAAGCAGACAACAGAGAGATTCAATTTGTATCACCTGTACTTCGCTGCAGCTGCCCAGTGTTAATGAGCAGCTGCGTGTGATTAGAGTTCACCAAAGCTGTAATAGTTGTTGCACTGAACCAAACTGCTTGCCTTGTCTCCACAGGTACATAACGGTACGGCTGCGCACTGTGCCAGACGCGCACTTCGCATGGCACCGGCAACTGTCGTTCCAGTGGGATGATGTCCTCAATGGTCGCTCCGAACCTGCTGCAGATGCGACAAACCTTCCGCTAGACTCCCTTACAATCAATGCCCAAGTCCAGACATGGTCAGGTATGGCAGCTTTTACCAAAAAATTCTTCGGCGACCACGTAAAGCCGCTCCTATACCCATTTTTGAACTAGCTCCCTAGTGGGAAAGTTATCAGAGTACTAAAACTGTGCAACTTGTGCTCTGGTTTTGCAACCACACATAGAATACGAACAGATTACCAAGAAGAGACCCATGAAATCTGATCTTGGTCTAATTCCATTTACATTGCGTAATAGCTAAAGCTAGATCGATTATAGTGGGAAATTCTTGGTGTATCCGCTCAGTTACCACGAAAATTTGTCCAGGAACGAACGAAAATGTCCAGGAATACTGAGAATATTTGCAGCCTCGTGTATTACTTTATAATTAAATAAAAATCTTAATTTAACTTACTGAATAATGTAATCACAGATCAAGACTTTATTTATTTTATTAAGTTTTTAAGTAGATACTTGTCAAACCCTAGGATCGCTTCCCTGTTCCTGTTAGCTTAGCTTCACTGGTATACGTACTGTCGAACTGAATCGAGGTGGTATCAGGCTGATGACTATCTAGGAATAACTGGTCTTGAACAAGAGAAGAGAAGTAAGGCCGAATAGTGCCGCGCAATTATCCGTAAGTGAGTGCAGACGAGTGTTGTTGCTAAGCTTTTCTAAACATATGGTTACTTAAAGACAGTATTATTGAGCACGAAGAACAGAACTATCTAAGTACAGGAAAGAGCGTCCTTATATATCCCATTCTTCGTATACCGAGTTGTATACCGTCCCGTGTACCGTATACCATATACCATATACCCATTCGTATACCATTCCATATACCCGTGGTCACGTGATGCGTAGTCGTTCCGGGCGTTGGTTACTCGAACCGAGTTTCCACCCGATAGACGTCGCTGATAGTCCGGCCGTTGCCTTGTCGGTGTCTTCTGCCTGACGAGTCCGCCTTACTAGTAGCTTAACTAGCAGGGGTCCGTAACAATACTTTAGTCTCAGCTCAGGTACCATATATTTTATTATATCAGTAATACAGTATTAATTTAAGGATTTTATAGATTCTGGATACTTTATTAATAAAGTTAATCTAGCCAGTTTAAATACCTTAGATAGCTTTTGTCAAACCCTAGGATCGCTTCCCTGTTCCTGTTAGCTTAGCTTCACTGGTATACGTACCTTCGAACTGGGTCGAGGTAGTGTCAGACTGATGACTATCTAAGGGCAACTAGTCTTGAACCAAGGAAGAGAAGTAAGGCCGAATAGTGCCGCGCAGCTATCCGTAAGTGAGTGCGGACGAGTGTTGTCACTAAGCTTTCCAAACATATGGTTACTTAAAGACAGTGTTATTGAGCACGAAGAACAGAACTAGCTAAGTACATGAAAGAGTGTCCTTAAATATCCTATCCTCCGTATACCATATCGTATACCATCTAGGGTAGATCGATGGTCGATCCAATCGCGATCCAGGATCTCAGTATACCCTGCGTATACCTTCAATGGTAGATTCAATGGTAGATAATCACGTGACGTAAGGCCGCTTCTGGTGTCACTCAAACCGGGATTCTACTCGATAAGAGTTGCTGGTCGTCCGAGACCTGCCTTGCCGACACTTTCTGCCTGACGGGTCCGCTTCGCTAGTAACCTGGCTAGCAGGGGTCTGTAACAGCTTTCTTAATCTTTAATTTTAATAGAGATATACAGGGTCTTCCTATCTCTAGATACTAGTTAAGAAGTTCTAGTTTAATTATATTAGATTTTCTAATAGAATTGAGAAATAAAGAAGTAATATTATTATAAAGATTATTATATTCAGAAGTATAAGGAATCTCGTGCAACTAAGCCAGGTCAAGGATTAAAAGCAGAAGTAGAGATAATAATATTTAGAAAAGGTTTTTTTTATAATTACTTCTGAATTTATATTTTTTAATATTAATAGTGATTTAGATATTTGAATAGTATTAAATACTGCTTATTTTAGCCGAATCAGGCAAGAAAAACACGTTTTTTATGTGTAGATAGGTGGTCGGCTTGGTGGTTATTTTAGTATTAGGATGCTGGCTGAGATGCCCGCCGAGACGCATTCCAGTAGGGGGTAGTGTTCCGCTAGGCCGTGGATCTCTCTATCGTGGTGGATAGATGTAACGATAGAATATGGAAACCTGTGCTTTGCTCAGTGGCCCAGGATTAATGCCCTTTTGTTTTAGACTTTGGTCACAAGACGGGACAGAATCCTGCAGATGACCTAGCAAAATGGGGCAGTTCCCTCCCCTAAACCCTGATGTAAGGACAACAATGGCCTGGGCGGTCTGGGGTTAGAGAGGGTAGGAAAGGTACCGGTATACTACGGAGTACTGAATGATTGCGCTACACCTTGACAATATATTTAGAGGGTAAGAGAACTTGGATACCTTTCAAATCTTTTGCTCCATAATCCTGTCCAGTGCAAAAATTAGTAAAGTTAGTGAGAGTTAATTAAGGCTGGGAAACTCATGATCCATTCCAAATTCTGTGACAATGGAGTATAGTATCGTACTGGGGACATTCATGGGCACATCCCAATGCAGTTAAGCGCAATTTTGGATATGCTCCGGGGATAACGATGTTCCGACCGCTCGTTGCCAAGAGCATCCCGGCCAGAGCTCATGGATCTCTCCGAACGACATCATCAACGGAGTTCCCCGCGCTTCTGGAAGGGAGTGTCAGCAGTTCCAACGTTCTGGGGAGACCGAATCGCCTGGAGTCCGACTTTCCGATAATTCCTGACCGTGGCAGAGGTCCCTCGCCACAGAGCGTTCTCCTAACTGCTGGCTGCTGACTGCTGACCCTCCGGATTGGGTATGAGAATCGGCCTGCTCTCTGTGCATGCGCTGTGACATGATTATTGATAAGGTGAGAGGATTTTCACGTGCGCATCCACCCCCATAGCCAACCACTATTGCAAAATTATCGGTAT